GCTGGCTCTGCTCTGGGATTTTTGGTTTGAGTTTTTCTTTTTGAGGACTGTGTCCCTGCAATGAAGCCTTTCACACCCCAGGGAGACGGATGTGGGTCATCAGCACAGCTCCCTCGGGAGAGGTTTGGACTCTGGGATGATGTCCCACTTTCTCCTGCTCTCCTCTAGGTTCCCCCAGTCCCTAGTACCGTCCTCTTCTGCACCTCATCCCCAGCAACCCACAGACCTTCATCCTGGACAGGAGGAGCCACAGGAACTGTTCCACCTCCCTCCCACCTTATTCCAGCATAGGAGAGGCCTCAGTATCCCCACTCCTCTGCGGGGGCGGCTGGAGGAGGCCACCACCGTGCCATGGTGGGAGGCACAGCTGGGCACAGCTGGAGAGCAGATGGGCTGAGAACCCCCCCAGCTCTGTGCCACCCACTCCTCATGACTTTCCTGCACACCTACATGCCACTATTTTTTTTTCTTAACAGATTCTTTATCCTTTTCCCCCTCTCCCTCTAGAAACCATTGAACTTTTTACCTTCCTTTATTTTTTTGGAGCTCCTCTCCCCAAATTTCACTCCCCTTCTATCAAAGCTGAAGCACTTTTGGTGCTTATCCCTTGGGAATTGGCCGGGAATTAGTCATGAGAAACTCTGGGAAAAAGGTTTGGGTTAGAAAATATTCAGCCTGCTCGGTATAGAAATTCTCTGAGCACATTTTCACTGCTCCTGCTGCCTTAGCAAAGCAGGGCCTGAAACAGGGGGTGCCTGGATGGATGGATGGATGGATGGGTGGATGGGTTGAAGGATAAACAACCTGAATCTTATTAACTTGCAAACTTCATTCTCAAATAAAACAATAGGCTCTTCAAAGTGTGGCATGCAGAAAATCCCTTTTATTCTAGCCCAACTTTTTGTTTTTAGTGCTGTGCAGCTCCATGCACAGCGGGACCCAGTCCACAAACAGGAATCGTGCATGTGGGTTGTGATGTGAGAACCTACAATGCCTCATGCCGCCGATTTGCCTGCTGAGGGCTCTCACTGGCCGCAGGTCTGCTGCCGCCCAGGTCTGTTGGCGTCAGCTCTGCAAGGTCTGGGACTTTTGGGGGTGGGATCTGGCCTCAGAGCATCCCTGCATGTGGCCATCCCAGAGTATCGAGCTGGCGTCAGCATGTAACCCTGCTGAGGACGGAGGAGTTGTGCCATGTAATAGGATTGGGCATATTTGCAGCATAGCTGGGACACGGGCCGCACATCTGGCAGAGGCTCTCCAGCAGCCGGCGCTGGTTACCACCTGGAAACCCACACAGTGATTGCTCCAGTTTCAGCCATAAACAGGACCTGCTGCCGCCTGTAGCAGGAGATCAAGCATCTAAAGACCATCCCGGAGCAGCAGCCCTGTATCCCTGATTTTTGCTATTGGGGACCAGGCCAGAGGCGTTAAACCTCCTCAAACACAATAGCGAATTTCTGATTTACCTTAAAGTGAGAGGGAAGAAACATGAATAAATGCCCAATGTCAACTCTCAGCTAATGCTTGACAAAGACCCACTGGAAAGCACATTTCTGGCACAAACTGCAGCTTAATATCTCCCCCCAAATAGACCCAAAGCTCAATGAAAAGGCTTTTATTAACGGCGTGGTTCTTAAGTCAAGCCCTAATGAGCAAATCACTCATGTCCTCTAGCAAGCAGGCATACGGCTGAACTCCCTCTGGAAATTTTATACTGCCATGGAAAAGCTAAAGAAACCTCTTGGCTTTGTCTGAAAGGTGTCTTGGCTTTTCTTTAAATCCATAGAGCAAGTTTAAACCCATGGCCAAGTGCGAAATGCTTGTCTCCCTCCTCTTTCGAACTGAAATTTCCAAAAAAGCCCTTGAGCACCTGCTCACCATTCCCTTGTGCAGCTCTAAGCTGGGCGCTGAGTGGGATGCTGTGACTTGAGGTGCTGGCCCGGGCTGCTGCCCACTTTTGGGTGCAACTTTCTGCCTCAGCCAGCCTGCATCCCACACCCCCGTGAGTTGGGGGATGAGCTGCTCAGACTTTAATTAAGCACATTTAATGCCGAGAAATTGAATTTATTAACATCGCGGTGAAGTTAGCAATTTCTTGGAGGAATTAAGACATTTCATTTGATTAAATTCCTAAATCAGTGAATTGATCAGGGAGAAAAACAAGCAAGCTGCTCGGGAGGAGGCGGCAGCCAAAATAGGTACGTTCTCATGCTGCACATCGTAATACCTCGCCAGATCGCCAGGCGAACCGGCGTCGCGTGTGACCATCGCTGGGGCTACTTCTGAGCTCAGCGCTGCACGATACTTGCAGCCAGCCAGTGGTGCGATGGAAATCTCCTCCGAAGGGGAACTGTGCAATCCGGCTGCCCCATGCGGCAGCAGGTCCAGGGGACGGTTGTGCACAGGCGCGTGCCGGCCCCAGGGCAACACGGTCCCCTCCTGGGAGCCCAGGACCTTTTCTGCAGCGCTGCGGGGATAAACGAGCTCTGGGCATGCTGCGTGCCGGGGGCAGCGGATGTGTCGGAGGATCTGGGAAAATCTGGCTGGTCTTTGTGGGATCTCGCCGTGGGCAGCAGTAGAGGCGCGGGGCGGCAGCCACGAGATGGCACTCCAGGATAGACATAACCCTGGCCATGAACCGTACCGTGGCATGTCTGTCCCCCGCATCTAATTAATGTTTCAAAGCTTTTAGTTGATTTATTTCTTTATCGCATGTCTGGGCTGTCTGAGATCAGGGAGTCGGTGAGGCTAAATCACAGCATTTCCCACATGCCCCATCTCGCTCTTGGGTCTCGTCGGCTGCGAGGGGGAGCAGCTTTTGCAGGGAGAGAGAAGAAAGCCTAACCACCTGGACCTCCCGTGCTGCTCCCAGAGCAAGACATGGGATTTGGTGGGCTAAGCTCAGCCTTACTTAAATTTTCTCTCCAAGTCAGGGCTTGTCTAAGGCAGGGCTAATGCAGGTGCCAGCATTTAACACCTCAGCCCTCTGCTAGAAAGCATCACCCTGGTGCCTGGCCAGTGGCGGATGCTGTGCATCCTTCTGAGCTGTTGCCACCAGGGTAAGTGATCTGCAGGTCCCACGGGCAACGTAGCCTCATTCTTTGACAAATAAAGTAAATATCCCCTTATCCCTGAGCACAGCAGAAATTAAGCAGCAGCAGGGTCCCTTGGATCTCTCTACCGGCCTCCGGGAGAGTTCAGGCTGCTCTGGAGGAAAGAGGCATTCTTCATTTCTAATGTGGTTTTATAGAGATGGAGGTAATTCCCACTAAAAAGTGGAGCTGCTGCTTTAAAGAAATGAAACAAAACCAGAGAAGGAACTGTCCTGATCATTGCAAGGGAAAAAGGTCATAAAATAAATATTTTAGGGTTGTTTTTTTTTTCCGAATAGTAAAAACTGTAACTGAGGAAGTAAACTGATAGAGTTGGTGTTTCCAGGCTCTTACTGGCTATCTCAGAGCCCAAGGAAAGGAAAATGGAATCACGGTGGTGGCATGTGGCTGGCTGGAAACCAGAGATGTTCCCCGCAACAAGCTAAAAAGAGGGCAAAATTCCCCAACAATTCTGGTGGCTAGGGCCCTGCCTTTGCATGTCAGGATGTTTTAGAGATAACAGCCAGGAGGCAGCCGTGACAGAGTAGAGAAGCCAGCAGCAGACGTAACGGTGCCAACAAAACCATCCCAACCTCACGGGAGCCAGTGCTTCTTACTGGGACAGACAGACGAAAAAGAGGTTCTGCTCCACCAAGCCCTCTTTCACCACGCTATCGAAGACCGGCGTGATCCCGTCAGCAGCCAGGCTTGGGTAGCCCAAGCCCAAGATCCCGTCAAATTTGACGTAGATGAAGAATTCACCTGGCTTGGTGGTGCTCAAGCCGAAGAGCTGGTTGGTGTCCACCAGGGAGTCCACCTGGGGAAAAGTCAAGGCTGCCGTGGGCCAGTAACCAAG